GCCCTTACCCAAAGTAAAGCAGAGAAGCTTGTGTCACTTCTTAGATAAGAGGAGGACAGAGATTGGGAAGCTGCATCTGCAGGCCCTCTCTAGACCCTACAGATCAAAAAGGCCCTTTCTCGACAAGTAGAGCTGACTTGATGGATGTACTTCCCTGAGGGTAAATAAATGCTCTACTCTATTCCAGACGAGCCAAAACTTAGTGTTAGGGGAAGTGAAACCTGTGGTGTTATGGACCAGAGAGAAAAAGAAAGTGGGAATTGAAATTGGTCTTTCTCAGAGCAATTGTATAACCTGCCTCCCCTTCCATCCTCCCATCTTTTCCCTTTCAGCAACCCCATACCAAAGAGAGACCTCTTGTGTCATTTACATGGTGGAGACAGCCACTCAGTGCTCTACTCTCTCCATCACCTTACAAACCTTCCAGCCCTCAGGGAGGAAGATGTTCTCAAGCTCTTACAGAAGGTGACAGCCAGGGATCTCCAGCAAGAGCATGGTGAGTTGGTGATGAAGTGACTTGGGCAAGGTTTCCTCTTAGGACAATCTTACCCAAGTTTCTTTCAGCACAGGATTTATCTAGATGAATTCTGTCAAAATGGGTGGTCTACCAGGTGCCTTCTAAAAGAGTGCTGTTTGCCCCAGTGAGATTATGGGATATCGGAACACGCCTCCCCTTTCTTGGTGGGGTGTAGGGAATCCTATCAAAACAGTCCCATAGGAACCTTTGTCCTTGTGGAACTATCTCATCAGTCAGTAGCATATCCTTGCCCCAATGAAACAATTAGGAAGTGCCCCCTGAATTCACAGCGTTGTCATTGGCAGTATTTATGCAAATTTTTGGTGAGTCTCTCCATTCTTCATAAGCTTTCTCAGAGCACATTGTGTGCCTGCCTTCTCTCCCATATCTTCTTTATACTCTTTTGAACAGATAAAGAGGTTTAGAGGAAAGACTTGCCTGAAACAATAGCAACGCCTTGTTTTAACCTTAGATCTTTGCTTAAAATTCAAGTCCCCATTAACAAGCTTTTTGGCTCTCAAAAATCATGTCACGGTGTAGTCACAACCTGCCACACAGGCCCGGGACACTTAGCTTTGAGAGAAACAAATGTCTGCATATGGCAGTAGATGTTGGTTAGCCTAGATAGTGCCTT